GCGGTTTTCTTGCAAACGTTTCATGACCCAACTAGGTAACATCATCAGTGGAAGGAGGGAGAGAGCTGTGCTCTCTGTTTATATCCAAGTGCCTCACCACCAGTGTTGTCATTTTACAACTCCGCTAAAAACAGCCTAACCAAGGAACCCCCGAGGGCCGCTCCCACTAACACTGACCCCCTAGTATCTTGGAGACCTGCCTGGGGGGAATCCTGGGAGTTGAAATCCAGACCTCTGAACGTTCCTTCCTTTGAAAAACACCGACTGAGCAGCTGCCCTCCACTTCTTGCGGTCCACGCACGATAAATGCAGCTTAGATTTGCGTTTTGGCGTTGCGGCACCTACTCTCTGGCCAGCTGTCTCCTGTTAAAGGTTGCACCACTCCACAAAGATCTTCTGGCTGACCTTCTCCTCTTCTCCCCTTGCACTACGATGACTTTGCCAAGCGGCCAAAAGCCTCCTGAGATATCATCAATCCAGACATTTATCTCTCGGGCGCTAATCCGCCTTCAAAAACATCCTTTGCTTAAGTGTTTGGGACAATGGTTTCCAGCGACAGAGCCAGGGAAGGCAGACCAAGTAAATTAAAATTATTTTATTTTAATACAAAGATTTCCTCTTTTGTCGTCTGGGTGCAGATATTTTGCGCGATAACCATTAAAAGGTTTACAACCAGGTTCATTGGTTATATCTATTCTTAGATGAATATCAATGAGTAACATACCTACTTATTTATATAACCTTTCTCTTCTTAGCTTATTTAGCTTTGTCGTACGTTTTCCGTATTTCACTCCTCTGCTTTTATTTCGAGTGTTTGCGTTTATTCTCTCACCGTTGATAAAAATATCTCCCATATACTATAATAGTCAGATTCTTCCTTTCCTTTAATTGCAAGTGTTAATCTGTTCATTTCTGCACATTTCTAATATTTTCTTAATCACATTCTCCTCCGTGGGGATCTCTCCGCTTTTCCAATTTTGTGCAAATACGATTCTAGCCGCAGTTATTACATGAATAATCAAATGTACATTTTCTTTATTGTAAGTTTCTGGTAAAATCCCCAACAAGAATAATTCAGGTTTAAACCCATCTTGATTACTGATGTAGCTTGAAACGAAATGGACTATAACTCCCATCCTCCCCAGCCAGCAGCGGGGTACGGTAGGAGGGGAGCCAGCCACGGAAGTGCAGCAAATCACCTCCGACGGATTTTAAGACGGATTGCGAAATGATATTCTCTTCCTTTTTTGTTTGCTTGCATGGTATTTTTAACCTCTGCTTTTGATTTGCAAACCACAAATCAAAATGCGAGCTAGATGCTGTCCTCGCTTAGCGACTGCCTCGTTTCATGACCGTGAGCAGTGACAAAAGTGCTGGAAAAAAATCACTTTGTGACCAGTCATCCCGTAAACGACCTTTGCGGGCCTGTTGAGCCAAGGAAAAGCTGAACTCCAATCTTGTGCACACGGCTGCGGTTTCGCTTATTGACCGCTTCACTGAGTGACCAGTCTCGATTGTGGACGCTAAACGAGGACGGCTTGTGTTTCTTTCTTTTTTTTTGCTGCCTCTACAGATGCGAACATGATGGAAATGGTCCAGAAGTGTCAGAATCCCACGACTTCGGCCGAGGAACATGCTCCTTATCTGAAGCAGGCCCCGGTTTCGAATCCAATGCCGAGCGGCGAGTCGGATTTAAACTCCAACCAAGAAATGCAATGGAGCTTGACCAAAGAAGATTTCACCTGCTCTGATCCTTCCCTGAGCAGGCAGGTAAGGCTCAGGAAGCGTCTCCAGATCAATCACCTTTCTCTTTCCCAACTCATTCGTGGCCTCCTCAGCGGTTCAAGTCAGCACAGGTGTCGATTCCCACCCAAATCTTAGGCCAGGTACAGGCAGTTTGGCCTAGTGGTTAGGGCGCTAGGCTAGAAAGTGGGAGACTCTTGAGTTCTAGTCCCACCTTAGGCACGAAAGCCAGATGGGTGAGTTTGGGCCAGTCACCAGGAGACGGTGAGTTCTAGTTCTGTCTTAGACATGAAATCCCTGGCTAGGTGACTTTGGGCCAATCACCAGGAGACGGTGAGTTCTAGTCCCGCCTTAGGCTGGAAAGCCAGCTGGGTGACTTTGGGCCAATCACCAGGAGACGGTGAGTTCTAGTCCCACCTTAAGCATGAAAGCTGGCTAGGTGACTTTGGGCCAATCACCAGGAGACGGTGAGTTCTAGTCCTGCCTTAGGCTGGAAAGCTGGCTAGGTGACTTTGGGCCAATCACCAGGAGACAGTGAGTTCTAGTCCCGCCTTAGGCTGGAAAGCCAGCTGGGTGACTTTGGACCAATCCCTCTTTCTCAGCCCAGCCCACCTCACAGGGTTGTCGTTGTGAGGAAAACAGGAGGAGGAAGGCGGATATGTTCACTACTTTGAAATATTTGTAAAAATAATAAAGGTGGGATACAGATAATAAATAATAAAATAGAATAAAATAAAATAGAATGGAATAATAGAATGGGATACAATGATAATAATACGTGGGATCAAGACCTGGAAAAAAACGACTCTGCTCTCAAGTTGATCCCTTTGGTGTTTTTTCCCCCCTCCTCCCTCAAGGCCTTTCTGACTCCACCGCAAGATCTGGGGTGGGACCTCTCGAAGAGTCCTCCCCTGGACACGGGCTTCCCCTGTGAAGAGATGGGCCATCCAGAGCTCCTGGGCCAGGCCGAAAGGCTTTCGGATGGCTTCAAGGAGGAGCCGGACCGGTGGCCTTGCGAGAGGACACCCCGCGAAGGTCTCATCTTCGAGAAGACCCGCCTGCCCTCCATCGTGGTGGAGCCCAGCGAAGGGAGCGACGGGGAGAGCGGGGAGCTCCTGTGGCCTCCGGAGGGCTTCCCGTTGCTGGAAGGGGACGAGACAGATGAGTTCCTGGCTGACAAGGAGGAGGAGGAGGAACTGGAGGCTGGTGAGCTCGGGGTTGGGAGAATGGTCAGCCTCGACGTCGTCTTGGATCCTTTGGGTAGCTGGTTGGCCACTGTTTTGCTAGGATCCGTTCCTGGCACCTTCTCCAGATGTTCCTGGGAACCTTCTCCAGATGTTCCTGGGAAGCTCAAGGTGTTCTTAGGAGCCCCTCTAGATGTCCCCAGGAAGCTCTTCCAGATGTTCCTGGGAAGCTCAAGGTGTTCTTAGGAGCCCTCTAGATGTCCCCGGGAAGCTCTTCCAGATGTTCCTGGAAAAGCTCTTCCAGATGTTCCTGGAGAAGCTCTTTCAGATGTTACTAGGAAGCTCTTTCAGATGTTACTAGGAAGCTGCTGCAGATGTTCCTGGGAAGCTCCGGCTGTTCTTTAGGAGCTCCTCCAGATGTTCCTGGGAAGTGCCTCCAGGTGTTATAAATGCAACCACGAGCCAAATTCCACCTTGACCAGCTTCACCATTGCTTGTTAAGTCCCCACAGATTCGACTTACGCCCGCTCGTTTCGAGATTTAACAACGGCATCGAAAAAAGTGAATTATGGCCATCCTTGCACCCCATGATTAAAATCGGGGCACTCAGCCGTTGTCACGTATTTATGATGGTTGCAAGAACCTGGGATTATACGATCGCTGTTCGCATCTGGCTTCCGACGAGCCAAGAAGTCAATTGGGTGTGTGTGTCAGATTCACTCAACGACCACAGGATTCACTTAACAGTGGCCACCGTGGCAAAAAAAAAAAAAGCTGATCAAATCAGGCCTGACTCACTGAATGAGTCAACATAAATTCTTATCCCAGCTGTGGTCGTAAATCAAGGACTACACTTTACTGCTCACCCAGGTCACGAGCAAGCACCCCAACTCTGAGGCCAGGCCTTAATAAATTTAACAAATGATGTATAAATAATTAACTTACTTCAGGAGGAACTAAGGTACCTTAAAATATATTTGTAATAAAATTCAGAATCGGATAGAGTTGAAAGGAACCTTGGAGGTCTTCTAGTCCAGCCCGCTTCCCAAACGGGAGAACCTCTAAACCCGTGATGGCAAACCTATGGAGCCATATCTGAGGGCATGTGAGCGTTGCCTCAGCTCAGCTCCAGCGCACATGCACGCGTCGGCCAGTTAATTTTCGGGCCTTCCCGGCCCACCGGAAGTCAGGAAACAGGTTGTTTCCGGCCTCCGGAGGGCCTCCAGGAGGATAGGGAAGGCTGTTTTTGCCCTCCCCAGGCTCCAAGAAAGCCTCTGGAGCCTGGGGAGGGCGAAAAACGGGCCTACCGTGCCATCGCGTGCCAAAAGCTCTATACCATTTCAATAAAAAATAAATTCAATAAAATAATGCGGCATAATAATGCTCCTTAACTTCTGGCCTCCCGTTTTTACATTTTTTTTTTGTTTTTTGTTTTAGAGTTTTCCTCTTTTGAAAACGAGGTGGATGATGTCTTACTGTAAAACCGGAAGCCGGCTTTAATTGTTGATCGATGGGGACGAGCCGATATTTTCCTAACCTCTTATAAACCAGATCCGGGATGGCAAACCTGGCTAGTAGCACCGAGTCAACGTGGAGTTTGTAAAGCCGGGTTTTTTCTTCTTCCCTATTTTGGCCTCCTCCTTATTCACCAACCTCCGACAGTAATCTTACGCCGTCAGTCCGAGAACTGCTTGGAAAGGAAAGATTGACATCCACGCGCAAATATTATGACGCATTCGCTGCCCATTGCATTCAGCAGCATTTCTGTCAAAACTGTTGGGGCTGAATTTAGAATTTCAAGGAATTTAGCTGATTGCGGAATAAAATCACGGGTTATCGTCGTGTTTTGTGAAACTTATTGTCGAAGCAGAAAGGATCTTGGGCTTCAACTTGAGAATTGGGTGGCTCGGCCCTAAGAAAATGTTGCGACAGTTAGGAAGTTAGAGACGTTACTGTACTCTAAATAATAATAAATAATAATAATTTGTATTAATTGAATACGCTTGTAGGATGCCCAATTCTGAAGGACGCTCAGTGGCTTCCCAACAATCCAATAAATAAATTGCAACAAAGTCAAGAGATGGCAGTTTTTTTTTTAAATAAATCACATCACATTTTAAAAATAAATCACATCACACCGTCCTCAAGTATAGAACGGTGGCCAATATTTGTCTTTGAAATTCCAGAATTCCACTAACCGTTCTGTTGACTTGGTCGTTTCCTGCTATCCGGAAACTAGCTTTTTACGGCTTCGTAGTCTGCCCAAAGCAAGCCAATCGTGGCTTGTTCCACGAAAGCTGAACGCATAAAATAAATAAAAGAATTGCTTGTGTTTGTGGCTTTGCTTCGCAAAAGGGGAAATCTGAGAGTCCAGATCGAGGAAATAAACAATAAAATTTAACCACCTCTAAACGACTGGAGTGTATGATATAAGATATATGGGTATTGTAGTTAACGTCTGTCTCCGATGGGTTCATCGGAGACTTGGTGGGCTGCCCCACATCTGATGGGTCTGGCGGCCAGCAGAGCTGGCAGCAGAGTCGGACAATGAGGAGGTTGGGGAGGAACATGGGCCAGTCCTGGGGGAGCTGGGGAAAGCTTGGACGAGGGCTCTGCGTCGGAGGCAGAGAGAGAGAGAGAGAGATAGTAGCAAGGCAGAGGAACAGCTGGAGCCCATTCCCAGTGTGCGCATGCGCAGAGCTGCCAGAAGACAAGAACAATTCAGAAAGCAGGGCCGACTTGGGAGTAAAGCTACACCTCGGAGGTGATTGGCCTCTCCCATAGGAAACAAAAGGGGAGCAAACGGGGAGGGGGCTTTTGGAGGAAACAATTCGCTTGTTCCGTGACTCTGAGAGACTTTGGCCTTGTACTGTGTTTGGAAACTAGTTACGTGGCAGCTTGCCAAACGAGATAAGGTCTGTGTTGATGAATATTCCTCTGAAAGACTGTTTGGACAGGCCTTGCTGACTGTGAATGAAAGGAATTCACAGTCGTGTAAATAAAAGAGGTTTTGCCGGGACCAAGACTCTGCTTCCTGATTTTTAAGGGAGCCTAGGTCAGAACAGGGTCTGAAGCTTTGGGGCAGAGTGTGTAAGCATAATACGAGATGCCGTTAACCCTGGCAATTTCCCCGATGTTGATGTTGGCCCCACCGGCTGTTTCCAGGAATGGCACCCTGGCGTCTGGATCCTCGTCGGAGATCTGGATGAGACATCCCTCCGGCCTCAGGACCCGTAGACACTCGGACACTAAGCGTCTCGCTCGCTGCGGGCATCCCCGCAGGACCGAATCACAGGTCCCTTTGTCGAGAAGCAAGTGGAAAGACCCCAAAGTGAAGAGGCGGGACAGTTCGGTGGCATCGCCCAGGTGGCACTCCAGCTTGGAGAGCGGGTGGCATGGCGGGGGGCTATCCTGCAGCATCCGAGTGAGACATTGGATGGCTGCGGATGAAAAGTCCAGACAAGAGACATGAAGCTGAACGGATGAGCGTTGGTAGAGCTCCAAGCCCAAGGATGAAGTACCGCAGCCGACATCTAAGACCCGGGCCCGGCCAGGGGGTAGCCCCCTAAGAACGGAGCCGAGAAGCGTTGAGATCTCTTTGTAGCCAAAGAACCAGTCGAATGGATGGGGAGATCCGTTTTTCTCCCTCCGGGCGTAGAAGCGGTCCCAAGCTTCGCGCTGGTCCATGTTTTGAAGGAGATCTTCTGCAAAGAAGGGGGTGGGATGGAGAGAAATTGAAGGTGGGCACCTCAGCCTGAGATGCGCGGTGACATTTTCCTTCCTTTTGGGAAGTCAAATGTGAACGCGGAGAAGAGCAACAAAGAGGATTAGGGGGCTGGAGGCTAAAATATATAAAGAACGGTTTATGCAGGAATTGGATTTGTCTAGTCGAGTGAAAAGAAGGCCTAGGAGTGACATGATAGCAGTGTTTTGATATTTGAGGGGCTGCCCCAAAGAAGATTTGGGGGGAGGGGGGGTCCAAGCTATTCTCCAAAGCACCAGAAGGCAGGACAAGAAGCAACGGATGGAAAATAATCAAGGAGAGAAACAGCCTAGAACTAAGGAGAAATTTCCTGACAGTGAGAACAATTAATCTGTGGAACAACTTGCCACCAGAAGTTGTAAATGCTCTAACACTGGAAGTTTTTAAGAAGAGAGTGGACAACAATTTGTCTGAAGTGGGGTAGGGTTTCCTGCCTGAGCAGGGGGTTGGACTAGAAGACCCCCAAGGGTACCTTCCAACTCTGTTATTCTGATTTTAAAAAGGAAATAAATTTGCATATAAATGGCTCTCTTTTCCAGTACTGTCCTGCCTTTGAAATGTAATTAAATACCCTTCAGCAATGACCTACAATTTTGCTTCCATCCCCTTGAGGATCAGTGCAATTTTCTGACCCCAAAACCCACTGAATGAACCCAAAGATTCAGTAGGTAAATAATTAAACAAATCAAACCGCTGACAATTTAAAAAGTTCAATGAGCAAAGCATGCAGGACAAGAAATGTCTAAAGATAATTTTTCCCAGTTGTCTTGTTCTTCCTTCGACCTGCCTCTGTCTAAAAACAGATTGCCCCCCTTTCTTTTGGAGGTACTTCCAACAAGGGGGGGGGGAAGGGGGGGACCAAGTGGAGTTTTGCATTAGAAAAAGACTAGCAACCAGAATCAGTCTTCACCCAAACTCAGAATGTCTTGAAAAAAACTTTGCCTCTGCTTTTAAGGGCTGGAGAGCTGGCTCAACACAGCATCCCATCAGAAAAATAATGAAAATAATGAAAATAAATAATATAATATAATATAATATAATATAATATAATATAATATAATAT